TTACCAGATAGTGTTGGAGTAACATAGAATTAAACTAAAATTAAATGATAAGATGAAAGCAGGAGGGTAATCAAACTGTGAAAAAGCAAAAAGTTGATTTGTTATTGTAATATGAATTGATTGGATGATGGTATACTTTGTGTTCTCCTATCCCCCTAACCCTTTTTCCCTTTTACCTATTCCCCTTTACTTTTTGTATTCCCTATCCCTGTTCTTAAATAAATACTTTTAAAAAAACATTCCAAAGGTTGGAGCCACATCAATGATAGTGGTATCAAACTGTTGCAACTGTGGAGTGTACATACACTCTAAAGTGGCAGCTGTCAGTTAAAGTTTGTGGCAGTGCATTCCACAGTTTATCAAGGCTGTAGAAAGAAGTACTTCCTTTTATCCGTCTGCTAGAGATGATATTCCATGTGGGAGCCAATTTCCAGTTACCCTGAAAACCAGTCTGTTTAGCTCTCTTTACCAAAAATATTTATTTATTTATTTATTTATTTTATTTAACTTATATGCATCCCACTCTACCCAAAGGTCTCTGGGTGGCTTACAACAATTAAAATACAATAAAAAGATAAAAGAATTAAAATGCAATTAAAATAGTAATCAAGTAATCATCCTAAAGTACTTGCAAACTATTCCTCTAACAGGAACTTGCTGCACTGAGAAAAATAGGCTGGTTTTAGTGCAGTTAAGATGCTACTGACACAACACACTGATAAGTAATAGCGACCCTGCCTATGTGTGTATACAGAAGCACCCACACACCAGTTAGCTGGATCCTGTCCTGCTTTTCAACAGATCATCATTTCCAGTGAAACTGTTTTATTTTCTTTGTGGTTAGGCTAAGCAGCAGCGTTGTGTGAGGAAAAAAAACATAACTTGATCATATTTTAAAGGTATTCTTTCCATTAAGAAATATGATGACTGTGTCTGTAAAATCAGTTTTGAGAATCTTCAAATGCACAGTCAGTGGCTTCCACTAAATCAAGGGTCGCATCCTCATCAGGCCAAGGGGGCAGGATTATCCTTCTCTGGCCCCACCAGGGAGGGCTTCATGCACACCGGCTGAAATTTGGCAGTTTCAAAGGAAAGGTATTTGAAACACACACAGAAGGTGTGTTTGCCTGAATGGGCTTTCCCCAACTGGCTACCAATGCAGCAAACTCTGTGCAGTTTGCTGTCCACATTTAACAGAATGGTTTTTCACTGAATTTTATTGTTGCAACTGGGGGAAGCTAGGACTCGAAAAAGGACCTAAAGGCTGAAACAAATAAAGGGGTTTGCTCACTACCTTGGACATCTCCGTCACTTCGGTCTGCATCACAGAAGGATGCAAGAGAATGAAAGACTGCTGTGGAATTATGATAAGTCACTATCCCCAGACCAAAGGGCAGCATATACATTTTAAAATTAATGTTGTACAGTAGTCTGAATTTAGTTGAGGCCCCAATACAAGCATTATGCTGCAGTATTTCCAACCTTATCATTCCATTTGAACTTTCTTCCTAGCCCTCCTATGGGATTTCCTTTGGCAGTCAGCCTAACAGTTGTGTTTCATCTTTTCAGGGACCGATTGGAAGAGCTTTTCCACTGTTCAGAGGCTGACAAGACCCACAAAAAGTTTTCGTTCAAGGGCAGAGATCTCTGGAGCCCTTCTGCCTGCCTGCCAGCCAGCCAGCCAGAGCCACCATGGAGCAGATCAGCAACTTTTTCCACTCCATCTGGATTTTCATACACACCAAACACCAGGAAGGCATCTATAACACAATCTGCCTGGCTGTATTGCTGGGGCTGCCAGCTCTCGTCGTCCTGGTGGGCATTTTCATCTGTTGTCACTGCTGTTTCTGTGACCGCCGGCAAAAGGACAGTGGGCGCTACAGCAGCAGAAGCCCTTCCCAAGGGAAGAAAAGAAATAAGATGATAAGGAAGAAGAAGAAGGAAGAGGATCTGTGGATCTCAGCGCAGCCCAAACTGCTCCTGCTGGAAAAAAGGCCCTCGCTGCTGGCCTAAGGAAAGAATGGCAGGATACCAGTAACGTTTGCTGCCACCTGCAGGGCTCTTTGTAGCACTTCAATCCATGCACCTTAAAGCGAGTAAGGACCATACCGGTTCTCTCCTCTTTCAGAGGGACATGCAGCTTCTTTCAAAAAGCTTATGCAATGAAGGGATGCCACTGGATATTCTGGGGAGTTCCTATAAGAGCAAGTATTTGCAATGCAATTGCGCCTGAGCAGAATAAACTAACATCCATGCCAGTATACATACAAGAGCATGTTTATGTAGACTCACCAGGACACTTCACAGCTATGAACAAATCATAGATATCTCTGGCCTTGGGCTGAAGGATGCGTCCGAGACTGTTTGCTCTAACAAATCTTACACTGACACCCGTTTGTGCAGTAGCAAGCAATACTGCTGTACGCATGCACACATACTGTATTGTCATGCCTATCATCGTACAAAATCAGATTGCACACAGAGGGAAAGAAGGCTCCTTCAGGCGGCTTAGGTGATTCTAAAAGGGGATTAGGGAAATTCGTGGAGGCTCAATAACTAAATAGAACCTTCAGGTTCAAAGGCAGTATACCTCTGAATATTAGAGGTTGAAGAACATACCTGGGGGGGAAAACAGTCGCCTCTTTGCTCTGTTTGTAGGTTTCCTACAAGTATCTAGCTGGATCCTTTATTCGCAGGCAGTGAAGCCAGATGTGACAAATCTACCACAAGATCTTTCAGTAGGGTCTTTGAATAGAACCACAGCATGTGCCTCAGAATTAAGTGTAACAAGAACCCTAGTTTTTATCTTAACAAGTGCCAAACTGACGCAACAGGCCAAGGTGTCCCTGACTAATGTCTAGTCAAATTTGTCCGGAGGACGAGACAAAAGCAGAACTAGTACTGAATTCCTAGTATCAGCTAGAGAATCTACCCATTAGAATAATTGCTGAATAGTAAAAAACCACTTATGTAAGACTCACAGAGATTAGCAATAAGATCATGGCCAGTATTTCTAAGGTTGACATTTCAGTGTCTTTGTAAGCTCTTTGCCTCTGTCCAGAAAGATCAAAAGCAAAATAAATTAGGCAAAATAGGCAGACATACACAGCCAGTTTTTTCCAGTGCTATTCTACATGCAATTGTTGTTGTTGGTTAGTCATTATGTCCAACTCTTCATGACCCGATGGACCAGAGCATGCCAGGCCCTCCTGCCTTTCACTGCCTCCTGGAGTTGGGTTAAATTCATGTTGGTTGCTTCGCAGACACTGTCCAACCATCTCATCCTCTGTCGTCCCCTTCTCCTCTTGCCGTCACACTTTCCCAACATCAAGGTCTTTTCCAGGGAGTCCTCTCTTCTCATGAGATGACCAAAGTATTGGAGCCTCAGCTTCAGGATCTCTCCTTCCAGTGAGCAGTCTGCTTGCAATAGTCCATGTCTTTAAGCTAGTTAATTTCCAACCCCACAGATACCCAGTCAATTTCTTTTCCATCCCCCTCCCTTTCCATTTTCCTTCTCCAAACCCCCCAACCACAATTCGTGGCTATCAGTATTGGTCTTTTACAGTCGAGTCCAGGGTATGGAAACACATGCAAATATACAAACATGCATAGAGAGTGAGTGAGCAACATGGGGTTACCAGCACACACAGGATACCCCTGCTCATCTCTTAAAACTTTGCACTGCCACCTATCCACCACCAATGGACTTCTGTGAAGCAGTCTCTGTGGTTACCATTGTGTGCAAACAGGTGGGATGAAGGGTAATAGATTGCCGGCATAACAGTGTGTGGAGCGATCTCTGTTTCCTAACAGCTTTTTTAAAGAAAATCTGTAACCCTGCCAGAGTTTGGATGTAATGCTTTATAAGTAGCATTGCCTATAATGTAAACAGTGGATCTTTTAGAAATATTGTTATTTTTTTATGTGCCAACAAATATTTATCTGTTAATTTCTTTTTATCATAATCTTTTTGCAAAAAAAAAGCCTTGGGAGCTATTTAAGGGGGGGGGTTAAACAATTTCCTTGCTTTTTTAGACATTGTTTTCTAGAAAGATTGCGAAAGGCAGACAAAAAAGTAATAATTAACAGTGAGTTACAGATCTAACAAAGTAGCAACATTAAGGGCAGCAACGACTTTGGAGAACTTTTTCTCAAGTTACATAAGGATTTGCTTTTCAAAAGTAACCTTCCAAGCCCTGAGTCCTATACACACTTGTCTGTATTCTTCTGAATACAGTGAAATATGCTTCTGAGTAAACCTGAATAATGTGAGGAAGCTAATATCTGTGAAGGACAAGAATGATAATGGCATTGAAGCTCATGCCAAGGAACCTACGCATGACTTTGGAAGAGATGGTAATTTGGTCCAACATTTTTGAGCAGTTCTGCATGGGATCCTAATGAATTCCTTGCTCTCCCCTAACAAAGCCATTGTTTGCATATTTTCACGCATTCATAAGACACTTGCCTGCTGTTCTGTGCTGGGCTTAGGTGATGCGGTTACTAGCTGCTTTCATGGAACCAGTGTTTGTCCTGTATTTTGTTTTCAGATCTGCATTCCAGGATTACCTTTTTATTGCACAGATTATGAAAAGCAAAACCCCACAATCCTTTTATTTTAAAATAAATTTATTTTAATGAAACAAACTGGATTGGTTTTTGTATGCTGTCTGAACTCTTCCATTTATTTTGCTAGGTAAAATGAAATATTTTCCTCTCCCCCCCCCCGACCACTGGGGAGGCAGTTTGCTGGGAGATGCAATGAAAATCAGCTTGCCCAGTGATCTGTCTAGCCAGTTTGCAATCAAAGTCATGCTGCTAGTTCACTCTCCACCCTCACAAGAAGAAACTACACATCTCTACTCTCATAGTGACACTCGTTGCAAAACAAGCAGTGCACAGATCTACGTCTTGTGCTTTATCAGCCACAATTCTGTTCCAGCTGGCTATAGATGGCAACTTTTTTTTAATCCATAAGTGGACAAAATGTGGCCTTCCAGACATTGTTGGACTGAATTCTCAATCCAAATAGCCAGTTGTGAAGAATCCTGGGAAGTGTACTCCAAGATCATCTGGAGGTGCTGTATTTTCCCGACCTCTAGTAGAGTCAGGCTATTATACTATTTGCAATTGCATAGCACATCCATACACACATGGAGCAGATGGTGAAATTATGGGACAGCAGAGCATTGCACAATGCACTCACAAACACAAACCTGCTTCAATGTCTGTTACACAACACTAAATGTGGAACTTTTCACTGAATATAGACTTACACGCCACCCCTAATGTTGGAATGGCTTGCACAGTGGCTATTTATGACCATGAATACAGCAGCAGTATACTCCAAATATGCTTATTTGGAAATAAGTACTACTTAATCAATCTGTGTCATCAAGGGGTGGGGGAAGGGAAATTGCCTCACATTTTAATTTGGGGGGGCTAAAGTTATTTTTTTGCTTTGCTTTGGCCTTTATTTGCTTGCTTGCTTTTCTTCGTTTCTGGGAGAGGCTTTATTTGCTTGCTTGCTTTTCTTCATTTCTGGGAGAGGGTACTGTGTGTGTGTGTATGTATGTATGTATGTATGTATGTATGTATGTATGTATGTATGTATGTATGTATGTATGTATGTATGTATGTATGTATGTATGTATGTAGATTGATTTCTTGAAATTGTTATTTGGTTAATTTGCTGTGTATTTCTTCTCTTAAACTTGTATATTCTGTGTGGGTTGGGGTTTTTTTATTCTTTCTCATTGCTTTTGGAGTTGTTGCCTTGCCTCTCTGCTTTTGGGGAGTAGGTTTTTAAGGGTTCTTTGGGGCTTTTGGATTGACTCCATGTTGCATTGCCTCTGCTTTTTTTAAGAGTTGTATTTAAAGGTTTGCTAAAACTTTTGGATCAGGAAGAACTTGCATAGGGGAAATGAAGTGTAATAACCTGAAAGAAGCAGTCCCTTTCGTGCTTACTGAAAAAAGACTGATGAACTAAAGGTACAAAACTGAAAGAGGCACTTCCCCAAAAGACCACAAAGTGTAATAAAAATGAAGATTTCCACTATGCACGCCCTATTTATTCAACTCCAACCCCTCAAAAAAAGAGAGAGAATACAACGTTCCCAACAGCATATTCCTTTCCAATGAAAAATTTCCACAGAAAATTAAATATTTAATCCCTATATTTCCTAGTAGAAAGATAAGCAATGTCCTGCAAATCCAAACTAGCTATTACATAGTTAGTTACCATCCATCTTCATACTAAAGACTCTCCTGGAGCAAAAATAACTCTCCCTCAAAAAGTGGTAGGAGTCAGATAAAGGTGGGGATACGTGCACGTGGTTTCACAGTCTCTTCATTATTTCCTCCACTTGGCAAAAGCTTTATATTATTTTCCTTCTGATGGTTTGGTTCCTCCTCCTCCTTCCTCCTTCTCTCCCACCCTTCTCTTTCGATGCCTTCTTCCCATTAGCCAATAGGTCAAACAGCTTATGGAAGTTAATTTTTTTAATTTGAATTCTAAAGCAGCCTTTCCCTCTTTTGTTAACTAAGGGCGTAATCACATGGACCATAAGAACCACAGTTATATGAATTTGGCCACTATTTAAATTGTTCCATAAATTTCCGTTCACATGACGCACAAGTAAAATTGATTCATTTTGCCAACCAACCTTGCTTTTTAAAATGATCTGATCCCTGAATCACTTCTATTCACATCGGTTTGGCATGTGTGAACATTACTGTTGATCTGCTTTGCATCCACTTGTGTTTTCAGTACCATGGGCAATGCATAGCCACCACACTTGTTCCCATTTTTATTTTTTATTTTTTTCAAATGCTAAGTGGTGGCGCTGCGGGCTAAACCGCAGAAGCCTGTGCTGCAGGGTCAGAAGACCAAGCAGTCGTAAGATCGAATCCACGCAACGGAGTGAGCGCCCATCGCTTGTCCCAGCTCCCGCCAACCTAGCGGTTTGAAAGCATGCAAAATGCAAGTAGATAAATAGGGACCACTTTGGTGGGAAGGTAACAGCGTTCCGTGTCTAAGTCGCACTGGCCATGTGACCACGGAAGATTGTCTTCGGACAAACGCTAGCTCTATGGCTTGGAAACGGGGATGAGCATCACCCCCTAGAGTCGATCATGACTGGACAAAAATTGTCAAGGCGAGCCTTTACCTTTACCTAAGTGATGTGTTGGTATTCTCTCCCCCTGGAGTTTACTGCTGCATCACTTCCTTATAACCATCATCCCCGCTCATCCTTTTCCGTGTCAACATGGAGAAACATCCCACCTAGTGTCCTTTGAGAAATAGTGCCCTAAAACTGAAGAATTAAAGAACCTTGTGTTATGAAACATCTGCCAATATTGCCTTCTAAAAATTTTCACATGAATTTAGATGCTGCTTTAGCATGGTATCATTTAGGTGCTTTTAGCAAAAACAAAAAACAATGTGCTCCTGAAACAAAACAGAAAATGAGTTTAGTTGGGATGGCTTGTGTAACTTACAAAATCTGTTCAAGGTCCCAGTGACCACATGTGTTTTCAGTAAGAATTATCCATCCCTCTCCTTTTGCAAACGGTGCTGCTCCTTTCTGAAACAGGATTGAGGCTGAATGTTTTTTGTGTAGATTATTGGGAATGCTCTTGAATATGCCGTTCTGCTGTCTGTGTGATTGGTTAATCATCTTCCAAATACAGCTGTGTGCGGTGTTCTCTCTTGTGACAACCCAGTGATGTATGCAGTGGGGTTTGACATTAAAAGGGATCATGGGGGAAACCCTTCCTCTATTTTAGTCTTCTCCAACTCTTTTTCTGGAAATCAACAACAAAAAAGAACAGGGTTGCTACCTCCCACCAATGACAAAATGTGGGGAAAGGAGCATCATTAATTGAAAGGGAGGTAAATTGGAATGATCTGAAATGCTGTCTGGATCCTTCTCGTGGAAGAAGAAACCTCCCATATGAATGGGAGGATGGCTCAAGTGCAAGAAAAAATAGATCACACAGAAAATAAGAGCCTTTTAAGTGAAAACCAAATTGCTTCAACTTGCCCCCATATCGTTATTCTCTGAGCCTTTTATTTATAGACCTTTTGACCTTCACATCTTTACAATAAAGATTGGGACTATAGAATTTACCCCAGTGACATGTGATGGCAGGTAGACACAAGCTTTAGTATTAAAAAGTAGTTCAATAACCTTTTCAAGATCACATGTTGGGTTTGACAGAGGCACCAGAGCCACGGTCGGGGGTCATACGTTTGATGCTGTTCGGCACTACCTTCAAGGGCAGCCTGAATGTGGAGTGGCCTGCCCGTCTGTGAAAGCCTTATCTGCTATATACTTTCTACACAGAGCTGAGTTTTGCAATACCACTTTAAAAGCAGCTATCTCATCAAAGAGCTTCTTTACTAAGCATTCCTGCAGTGAGCATAGTGTACTTACAAGTTCTAAGTTGGAACAGACTGGCAGCTCAGAGTTTTTGGACTCAGAAAATCTTCTGCTTGAGATTGGAGTATTGTATCTCTGATAACAAGTTTGATGTCAAGGAGGAAAGGGACAGGGAGCTGCTCTTTAAAGCCAAAAGGGTCACCAAGGGAACCACTGCCTCCTATAAAGTTAAGCCACCAGCAGGCCCCACCTAATTTACCAAAACACCACTGGACTATAAATGAAGGGCAAGCACAGGAGCTGAATGGTAACTCCTGGGCAACTCCAACCCTAAGGGTTCTGAGTGCACAGAAGAAGAAAAAAGATATACCATGGTGGTCTCTGTTTTCTTCAACAAGTTAAAACAAGACACTGCTGGGAGTGCAGTGGGATGGCACTTTTTCTTCAGAAGAAGAACCTGGGACTAACTGAAGAGCAGAAAAGGGTAGTTGTGCCCAGTGGCTGTCAGAAACGGAGGTCACTACTGCCACTGACAACTACAGCATCTATCCCTCCCACTCCTGCCCCACACCTAGTTAAGAGTGTAACTGATGAATTGGCTTAGTTCTCATTTATTAGTTTTCACCATGCTCACAGTGCAATCTATGTTCTATAGTGCTCTCAAGATATTAAACCAGAATACTTATGAGACTTTAAATCAGTTGCTGTGATTATAAATGTGTTAAAATAAGTCACCCAAAGCACGACACATTGTTACACGATAACACATTGGAGTTTCAAGCACCGTGCTTCTAGGAAGTCATTCTAAACTCTAGCCTTCTTACTCTTCAGCATCACAGATCTCTTTTTTCTGCCAAAGATAGGCTCAAAGCTATGAGACCGTGGACGGATCTTCAGTTCGGTGAAAGGGATGGAGTACAAATGGCCTTTCCATGGTTCCCAATTAACTCCCTGCAAAGAGAAAATACAGAGGATGTCAGTGACATTATGAGATCCATCCTCTTGAATCTATGGGCACCCAATCACCTGCTCCTACTGGAAATAAAATCAATCTCCTGATATCACTGTTCTCTTACTGTCAAACTCCATATTGAACCGACAAATTAGGTCTAGTACCAAAACCTTTCAACAGGTATCGATAAGTGGTCCGATTCTATGATATGATAATACTGTAATAGCATTTCTGTAGCACATTTGAGATATTAAAACACTTCAAATCTATTATCTTTCTATAATCCTTGCAACAATCCTGTCAAATACATTAGCACGGTGAGTCCTCTGACTGTGCAGAGGAGTGAAGACTCAGGTCAAGAGAGAAGAATGAGAGAAAGAGTCTTTGAGAGCGACAACACACGTACTGTATGTGTAAATGCAAACCAGCAGACAATCAATAGCTGACTTACAAAAGTCCCTCACCAAAAAGCTCCTGAGCAAACTTAGCAATTATGGGACATAAAGAGGGTCTGGTTATGAAGAGAAAACTGGTTAAAGGAGAGCAAAGAGAGAGTGGGAACAAATGGACAATTCTCAGAATGGACAATCATCCAAAGATATGTATTGTGACTGGCGCTCTTTAAGTCATTCATCTATGATCAGGAGTTAGGGATCAACAGGGAAGCAGCAACGTATTTCTATTGACGTCATAGTGCGCTGAGTCTCTGCAGCGGAGAATAAGTCAAAGGTGTGAGGTTGGCTCCAACTCGTCCTCTGTCATGATGCAAGTGATGCAGTGGGGAGGTGCTAGAAGTGGCAAAGCACTGTGCAGAAATGCCCCCAAACTGCTTGTTTGCTAGGCTCCCAATCTCTCTCCATGGATGCATAGGCTGGACAGTGATGAATTACCTAGATAGGAAACCTATTTTCTGTCGAGATGGTGGTGCATGTCCTCTCCCCACCACCACCAACTACCAGCACCCCTGCAAATATATTTATGTATCAGTTCAAATGATAACACTACCTCAACCAATGCAAATGCATTTAATATAGAAAATAGTAGAAGCCCCAGCAGTAGAAGAAAAAAGTATGGATGGGAGTGGCTGATTCTCATAAACTTTTATATTATGTAGTCAGTGGAAAACAATGCGGATCTGACTGTCTGAATCCTAGAGCATTTCCCACACCCTACCAAATTCCTTGCCCAGAAACTGTAGTATAACTCCTAACACATGGCACAATCTAACTGAACTAAAGAATGCAGTAGACAGCAAGTATTGGTGATAAGGCCACCCCTGCTGATGTTGAAAAATGTGATGTATTGAACACTATATTTTGCAGGGTTTCTGGCTCCTTCTAGTGGCCAGTTCTGGTAAATATGTATTTACTCTGGAAATACATATAAATATGTATGGGGGCTATAGTATTTAATATAGAATATATTTCTGGCAGCTAGAAAGGGTGGTAGAGGCCAAGAGTAAACTATGAGAGTGCAGAATCTACTGAACAAACATAAGGCAATACAGTAGGGAGGAGACACTGATCCTGTGGATAGGGAGGCCCTACTGTATTGCCTTATGTTTGTTCAGTAGATTCTGCACTCTCATAGTTTACTCTTGGCCTCTACCACCCTTTCTAGCTGCCAGGTAGGGGGCAGTGCCTCACATGCACTTATGAACCTTCACTATGTGAAAGGCGGTATTTTCACACTTGGGAAGATGTGAAATTCTAGCCTTACACCTGAATTTGCCCACCACTACTCTGATAAGCAAGTCTCTCAATCAATCAAAAGGCACTCCCTTACTGTGAATATAGCAATATTCTTGCATTCAGGAGAACACCTGAACAGAGTTGTCCTCAGATGTGAATATATAGCCCTTGGGGCAATGGAGGCTGCTTCATTAGGTTCCCCCCAACCTGATGTCTACAGAGGATAAGGTCAACAGAGTCCTGAGATGATATGGTACATAGATTTCATGTTCATTTCATAACACAGTTATGAAAGTGCCAAAATGTATCAATCACCACAGGAAAGTTCTTTATATTGAGAAGTGGAATTCTCAATGTAGACCAAAAAAAAAAAAAAAAAAAAAACAGGACTTGAATGCCTGGTACTCACCTCACTGTGCTTGTTTTCTCCATATTTGCCATTGGGATTGGCCAAGTGGCAGTTCTTATACCACCAGCCACCATGGTGTGTCATTGCACAGTTGCTGATAGCTATATCATTGTCCCTGTCCCAGGTAGTAAACCTATAACCATTATGGTATGTCATGGCATCCCCTTGAGCAGGAGAAAAAGGGATCATTAGAACCAGCAGGATTCCTACTTCATTAATATCTGATCTCTGATGTAAGTGCTAGCCTTTAGGGTGTCAGAAATACAAAGGAAGGTCTTTCAAGGTCCACTGTATACAACTGTACCCAAATGAAAAGAAAATTGATCCATAATCATGCACAAGTGGCATTTTCATAATAAAATTAGATTTTATTATTCAATTTCTATACCATCCATCTGACCAATGGTCACTCAGAAGTGATAATGATATAAAAAATAAACATAATTAAAAGTGAGGTTAAAATTAGGTTGACATTACATTTAAAAACAGGCAGCCATTAAAAATGATAGGCTGATACTCTCAGAGGCTATTCATGTGGATTGTTTTGAAAAGCTCCAGAACTACAGCCAGGCAGGGACAAGAAGGCAGAAGGGTGGAAGAAGAGATAGAATTGGGTACCATCTGCATTTTGATGGCACAAAACTCCAAATCTCCTGATGATTTCACCCAGCAGTCTCATATATTAAATAGTAAGGGGGAGGTGATCAACCCCTGAGGGGTTCTGCCGTTTAGAGCCCAAAAGGTAGAAGCCATCTCCCCCAGATGCACTCTCTGGGAATAGTTCCCAAGGATGACAAAGCCGGGCCTCCAATCCCCAACACTGAGAAACTCTCCAGGAGGATACCATGGTCGATGGTATCAAAAGTAGCTGATAGATCAAGGAGAACCAGCCGGGACACTTTGCCCCTGTCAGCCTCCAAGTCACTGTGGTGTACCATTCCAGAGACTGGGGTTCGACAGGGCCTGCAACCAGATCATAACATCCTGGAATCCAGCTGGATCCAGAAGTCTGCAAGGGTGAACCATCTTATTGGGTCCTATCCACTGAGACATTGAATTTTATCAGGTGGTGGTCCAACCATGACAAGCGAACAGACATGAGGTCTGTAATACTCGGGCAACTCACGCCTTGCCTTGTTGAAAATACCAGGTCTAGCATATGACTTGCCAATGTATGGGGCAGTTGATACATTGGGACATGTTCAAGGAAGCCCAGAAATCTCAGCCTTGGCATGGATATTGAAGTCACCCAGAATGAGAAGTCTAGAAGATTTCAGCAAACTAGCTGAGATGAAGTTTGCCAGCTCTGGGAAGGCCAGTGCATTTTGGGGTTTCTGTGTGGGATTGCATCAGATTTGACCCTTTTTCTCTCTTTTTTTTTTTTTTTTGCGTGTGTATTATGTGTGTGTGTTGTTCCAACGCAAACCAAAGAAATGAACATGTGAGCACCAAAACATTTGCAACTGCAACAATTTTCTGAGAGAAGGGTTGCATTTTCTAATAGAATTGCAAGGGTGCCAATATTTTTGGCCATGACTGTATGGGTACTAGCAAACAGACAAACCTCATAGTTACACATATGTCTGTTTTTCTATTAATAAAAAGTTATAGGGTGAAGAACAGGAGAAATTCACATGAATGTATCTTGCTTTGAATAACAATATGCAGACAGACTCTTTAGCCCCTGTCTTTAGTTCATCCCAGTCAATCAGCCCCATACAGTGATAGTAAGGGAAACACTGTGGATTTCCTTGTTCACTGCTGCTGCATGAAGTACCAACAGCAAAGGGAAAGCATTTTCTTACCTGCCGTGCCTTTGTACTTTCCCACAGAGAGCCTGTATCTGTCTCTGCTGGGTCCCACCTGGAACAGGTCATAGGCCGCATAGGCAGACTCATTGCTTGTCCGTAAATCCACCCTCATCTCGTATGGAACAGGGGCAGTGCTGGTGAGTTCATGCAGCTTCTCCAGGCCTAAATGATAGACATATGTATTACCGGATTAATCTAATAATACTATGGGATTGATATAAATACTTATTTATATAGATGAGGCTTATATTTGTCTTATGCCAATTGTACTCAGTTCTTTCAATTAACTAATAGTCAAGTGGTTTATTTCTTTTTTTAAAAAAATAGAGAAAAATTGCCTGTGTTCTCTGGAAGAGATGGTGGAGAAGACCACAGACAAATATTGGCAATGATCCCCAAATACTGCAAGCAGATTGCCTGAAGTGAGGGAAGAGTTGTGTCAGTAGAAGCACCAAATACTTCTAAGCCAACACTAACATCATGCTTTCTGCATTTCCTTCCTGGGAGAGGCAAAGCAAGGTAGCTCTGTCCATGTCACTTTGGGCCCACCTAGAAGCACTTCTTTAGGCAGCTGGTCCACCTGTACAGAATCAGAATACGACCTGCAAGCCCCCCCTGAGGGAAATGGCCATTTTCCCCCAGAAACCTTTGCAGTGACACACATGTTTCTCTCTGGTGTGATTTCTGATTTCGTGAAGGAACAGGTTCTCGTTGACTGAGGACAACATAGGCACTGATTCTCTCACACTGCTTGATAAACAAGATCACTAAAGAAGTGGCCTTGGCCAGGCCCAAAGCAGTATCCAACAGTCCACCTATTGCCTGACAAGCTAGCATGTGCCTGCAAAGATAAAATGAGGGAAGAGCTGCAAGATACATCTTTGCAAGTCAAACAGAGTTCGCATAAGAAGAGGAGCTAAAGAAAATGCCACTTAGGTAGTTTGGTCTCACCATTAGGGAGAAAGGGGTCACTGTCTCAGGCATTGGATGATGAGGGGCCGGCAGCTGCAGCTTCCCAGCTATTACCCACTATTGATAGACAGAGCTATAGGATCCACCCCCTAAGCTAGCCTGCTGCCAGATGAACTGGAGGGTGCCATTCCAGCGTCAGAGTTGAATATGGGTCTACTGCCAGTCTGACTGGCGTTTTGGGTGGAATCTGGGGGGGGGTGCCACCTTTTATTTTGCCACACAGAGAAAAAGGGCATATGATGTGCATCGCAGACTGGCCATCTCAGCTCAAGAGCACACTTCTCGTTCATAAGGAGCCCAGCAAACTGGCAAGCTCTCCAATTAAACCAATACGGCCCTGTGGTTTCAGAGATATTTGCAATGCACATGAGTTCCCTTGGCAGCTAAACAGATTTAGGAAAGATTTCGTAAGAGGACAAAGCTCCATCATTTTAAGCTAAGAGTGTATCTCCTTCTCAATTATCTGGTTCCTGGCGTGGCTGAAATCCTGCATCATAGCTGTTATGCCTATATTGGCAAGGATGGTGCCAAGGCAGAAATGCTATCCACAAAGCAATTCCACCAGCACATTTCACAATGGTCACAATTGAATTACATGAATCCCCTGTTGCCTTGACATAATGCCAAGCAAATTTACATGTGTGAAACTTTATGTTACAACTACACAAACAGGATTTTGGCTCATTGAAATACATTCAGCAGAATCAGTAGAAAGTCTTTGGCTCAGTGGCACCACTAGGGTTGGGTCCCTGGAGCAGGTCGAGGCCCATGTCACCTGGAAAGTCACCCCAAAGCTGTTTGTTTGAGGGGGGTTGTTTATTTATTTATTTGTTTCCACTTAGAAAGGGGGACAGAGAGAGAGAATGCACACAGTTAGAGTTAAGGTAGGGGAGATCATGATTACCATCTATTTTAGAGAAAGTCCTAAAGAGCATGGGGGTAAAGAATCAGGGAGGGGAAACAGAGACAGGATTTACTGAATATGCAGAAGGAATGAATAGAAAGGATCAGAACAGCAAACTGAGAGCATGAAAAGTGCACTTCTCCACAAGATTTCCAATTTCATGTGCTGCCAAGGAGCCCAGCAGGTGCCAGAAGGGAGGTGGGGGAGAGAGAGGTCTCCCTCCTCCCCCTGTGGCTAGGGTGTAGCTGCCACAGTGGCTGAGACAGGACCTGCCCTCCACACACACTGCTCCTGGGTGCTGTCTGATGAGGTACTAAAGTAGGATTTCAATGGAACAGGGATTGGGGCGGGGCTGAGGGAGCTTGAGGGTGGGAGAGAAGGGATTTGGGTCTGCATGAAATCTAGGTTGGACTGAAAATGTTAAATGCAGAAATGCAGGGAACTAGAATAGTTTTGTTACATAATGAGAAACAAAAAACGTGCACATTGTTACAGTGAGATGATTCAAGGTGAAGATACAGTACCAAGCCAAAATTCCCCGTTGGGATCTCCGAAACCTTCAACGTAATTCCTCCAGCGTTTATAGAAATCCAGCTGTCCATTGTTCCGCCTCTGAAATACCTGCAGAAACAAAAGTAGAAGCCAATTGATTGACCTAATTAATTGATTTTTAAATATCAGTGATGCAGTTGTAGATGAATATTTTAGGTAAGCTTATAAAGTATGGACACAGCAGATTGAAAATGAAAGTATCAAAGCAGCATGGCTCTAAATTTGAACAACTGTCCCTCTTTGAATTTCTCCTTAAGACTTGGGCTTCTGACTGTGTTATTAGCCACTCAGTTGACTTTATTCTTCTGACTTCTAGGCATTGTTCAAACCCTTCTACCTGTGCCATTTGCAGCAGGTTTAGGCTCATATCTTTCTTCCGTCTTCACAGCAGGAGTCAGCAAAGTGAGGCTACATGTGCCTCCTCAAGGCCATCTTTGTGTGGAGGCTTAATCAACCTATGTATGCACTTAGGTTCTTATATACGGTCAAGTCACCTCTGACTTATGGCAACCCTATGAATGAGTGGACCTCCAAAATGGCCTGCTATTAACAGCCCTGCTCAGCTCTTGCAAGCTGAAGAGGAACTGAAAACTGAAGAAACTTACACCTATTTCAAAAGAATTTCCAGATTTTTAAAGAAATTTTCCAGGCTCAACCAAAGGACAGGCAGAGCATAATCCAGGGCAGAGTTACTCTTCAAAACCAAACAGGGGGTATCTGCCAACACCTGAAAATGAGCATTCCAAATAGACTCTTTGGAAAACCCAATTGGCACAGTGGCCTTTCTGCTGGCTTCTGCTAATTACCAGCACATATCTAAACTGTGAGATACGTGCCTTGGCCTGCATCTCTCATCCGTCTCCTAAAACATTCCCTGCAACTGGGGACAGGTTTAATGAAGAAAAGAATGTAGTTCTCATGTGCTGGTTGCTATGTTTAACATTAACATCAATAGTAATATTCATAAAACTGTACAAACAGGCCACAAATCACACAATCTCCAGTGTCTAAATACAAATTCCAGGAGCATGGGAAACAAAGAAGAACTCAAAATTTTAGTTCAGGAAGGCAAATATGACTTGATAGGAATAACTGGAACTTGGTGGGATGACTTCCACAATTGGAATACGGCAACTGGAGGATATAAATTGTTCAAAAAGAACAGAGAGAATAGAAAGGGAAGTGGAGTTCCAGTATATGTAAAAAAAATACACATTCCTGCACAGAAATACAGGAGGAGGAGATTGGATGTCCCATTGAGAACATCTGGATCAATCTAGTTGGGGCAAAAAACAAAAGGAAATTGGTAGTTGGAGTCTACTACCACCCGCCCAATTGAAGGCAGAAAGTGGACAAAACCTTTGAAAAATAAATTGCAGGGTTTTCAAACAGACACAACATAGTAGTGATGGGAGATTTCAGTTATTCAGATATACAGTACGTTGGGATGCAAATTCTGCCAAGTATCGCCCTTTCAAGAAATTCTTGGCCTGTGTGACTTATAATTTTCTCCTGCAAAAAGTGGAGAAAGAAACTAGAGGATTTGCTCTCCTTGACTTGATTTTGACCAACAGAGGTGGCTTGGTGGGGGAAGTGGCAGTAAGGGGAACTCTAGGCAAAAGTGACCATGTCCTTCTAGAATTCTTGATTTCAAAGTAAATCAAAGCAGAGGGCAGCCACACACATATGTTGGATTTTTTAAAAGGCTTATTTAAATAATCTCAGAACAAGGATGAGTAAGAGCCCATGGCCGAAGAGCCTAAGAAGAAAAGGAGTCCAGGAAGTGCGGGTGCTTATTTTAACAAAGTTCTAAAAGCACAACTACAAACAATTCCAACAAGAAAAAAAGGTGGGAGGCAGCAAAAAAAAAAGGCTAGTGTGGCTTCAGAAGCTCAGGGAAGACCTAAAAACAAAACAAAAAAAATGCATGTATAGGAGATGGAAAGAAGGCCAGATCATCAAGGAAGACTACAAACAAGTAATGAGGAATTACAGGAATGGCATTAGGAGAGCTAAAGCTGAGAATGAGCTGAGATTAGCTAGAAACACTAAAAGAAATTAAAAAGCATTCTTCAGGTATGTGTGAAGCAAAAGACAAAGAAAAGTAATAATGGCACAGTTACTCAGAGGAGATGGAAAAATGATGATAGATGACAAAGAAAAGGCAGAGGTGCTAAATTCCTATTTGAGCTCATTCTTCTCCCATACATGAAACTATGACTGTCCAGACAAATGTGAAATGCAAGTGGAGAGGACAGGATTGCAGCTGGTGACTGATAAACAAATAGTCAAGGAATACCTTACTACGCTGAATGAGTTCAAATCTCCAGGGCCGGATGAACTGCATCAGAGAGTAATGAAGGAATTGGTTGAAGAACTCTCAGAACCACTATCCATTATTTTCTTGAAATCATGGGAAACGGATGAGGTGTTAGAGGATTGGGAGAGGGCCAATGTTATCCCTGTCTTCAAAAAGGGCAAAAAAGAAAGGGCCAATGTTATCCCTGTCTTCAAAAAGGACAAAAAAGAAGGAACCTGGGAATTACAGGCCACTCAGCCTGATGTCAATCCCAGGGAAAATTTTAGAAATTACAAAATGGTCACTATGCAAACACCTGGAAAATAATAATAACTAGAAGCCAACATGGATTTGTCAAAAACAAATCCTGCCAGACTAATCTGGTTGCATTTCAAGTAGGTAACCTCCCTGATAGATAGAGGCAATGCTGTAGACACAGTATATCTTGACTTCAGCAAAGCTTTTGACAAAGTGCCCCATGATATCCTGATTAGCAAGCTAACTAGGTGTTGCTTGATAGATCAAGTGTCAGGTGGTTACACAATTGGTTACAGAATCATACTCAGAAGGTGATGAATAATGGTGCCTTCTCCAATTAGGAGGAGTTAACAAGTGTGGTACCTCAAGGATCAGTCCCAGTTATGGTGCTCTTCAATATTTTTATTAATGAATTGGATGAGTAAGTGCAGGGAATACTAATCACATTTGTGGATGACACAAAATTGGGTGGAATAGATAATACCCTGGAAGACAGAAACAAACTTCAAAATGATCTGGATAGGCTGGCGCACTGGGCTGAAAGCAACAGAATGAAATTCAACAGGGATAAGTGCAAAGTACTGCACCACAGAGAAAGAAACCAACTGCACAGTTACATGATGGGGGATACCTGGCTGAGCAATACTGCAAGTGAGAAGGAACTTGGAATCGTCATAGATCACAAACTGAATATGAGCCAACAGTGTGATGTGGCTACAAAAAAGGAAAATGCTATTTTAGGCTGCATTAACAGAAGCATAGATTCCAATTCCTGTGAAGTGCTAGTTCCCCTTTATTCAGCACTGGTTAAACCTCACCTTGAGTCTTGTGGTCAGTTCTGGACACCACACTTCAAGAAGGGAGCTAACAAATTGGAACAAGATCAGAGGAGGGCAACAAGGATGATCAAGGGGCTGGAAACCAAGCCTTACGAGGAAAGGCTGAAAGAATTGAGCATGTTTAGCCTTGAGAAAAGACTGAGGGGTAATATGATAACACTTTTCAAATACTTGAAAGGCTGTCATACAGAAAAGTGGCTCCCAGAATGCAGGACACACAACAATGCGCTCAAGTTACAGGAAGCCAGGTTTTGATTGAATATAAGGAAAAAAACTTTCCTACTGTTAGAGCAGTACAACAGTGCAACCAGTTACCTTGAGAGGTAGTGAGTGCTGGAGGAATTCAGGAGAAACTTAGACGTCCACCTGGCAGATATCCTTTGATTTGTATTCCTGCACTGAGCAGGGGGTTGGACATCATGGCCTTATAGGCCCCTTCTAACTTCACTATTCTATGATTCTGTGTCAGCTTTGAATTAATTTTCACACAGTGAGAAAGGAAAACTCAATATTGGGCATGCTTTGGATTAAAAATACAGCATTCCTTATAAGCAATTTTAAAAAAACAGCAGTCTCTAGAGTCACACTCACTATCCATCCACCTCCATCAGTGGTCATGTCACAATACACCTGCAGGGGCCTGTTAACATCACCGTTCAGATAGATGGTGTACATGCCGCTGCTGGCATGCCCATTTTGCTGCATCTGGCTGCAATCAGCTGGGTAGGGATAGCGTAAACTGACTGTAGAAACAAAGGAGATTAAAAATAAAAAAGTATAAATAGATAGAAACATCTCTGAACAGCACAGTCACATAAGGAGGCTGAAGGAAAGCAACACAAGCCACAAACCATAGGAGGGAAGGAGATACAATGGCAACAGGGCAAGATTAGTCCCATAAGTCAAGCTTTAAACTGCAGCCTAGGCACACTTACCTAGGAAGAAGTCCCACCAAACTCAGCAGGACGTACACCTGAGTAGAGATGCATACGATTGTGCTATTGGTGTATGGAGCTCCATTTGCGCACAGTCTTCCATCCATTCTCTGGCCATGCCTTCCCTTCCTTCTGCAGTCCTTCCCATTATCAGTTTTAAATTTTATGCTCCTTCCTTCCTTTCTTCCTTCCTCCATTATAACATTCTCATATAAAATGTTATGTTCAACAATGGCAACGTAATAATAAAACCCATAATCCCTAGCAACACTAGTTTCACTTGACACTAGATCAGTACCTTTTGGCCATTAGGAATCCTTAATTACTTAGCTTCCTCTCAAGAAATCAGGCAAAGCAATGTAAATTTCAGCAGAAGCTTCAGGAAAAGCAGTTGAAGGTACTGTAGAAACTGATGAAAGGTGGAGAATTCTGCTGTCCATTTAAACAATCCAATATATCTGTGATTTGGGATGGAATTTTCAGAATTGTGGTATTCCCAGTCCTAGAAATCACCTAAAAGTCCCCCAGGCAAACTTCTGGGACTGGGAGAATTATCAACAGTGGTAAAAAGAGATGTCTTTTTACCACTGTTGCCTGCTTCATTCCCCATGCATCAGCTGGAAAGAAAAAGGGAGCGCCCCTCAGTCCCACTGCTTGCTGGAAATTGCGTTAGTGTGCCTTGGGGAGGGTAGTTCAGTGAGAGGCTCACCCTTTAGCGTTTAATGGATAGCAAGACCATCCTCCCTATAGTGCACTAAGCCAATTCCCAGTAAACAACAGGACATCCTAGACATTTGTATCAATGTTTTCTAATAATGATCATGCTGGCATGCTTTCCATGTACGTACAGTGGGGTCTTGACTTGAGAACTTAATCTGTATTGGAAGGCGGTTCTCAAGTCAAAAAGTCTGTAAGTCAAGTCTCCATTGACCTACAGTGCATTGAAAACCGATTAATCCCATAACAGGCCGTTTTTGTTCCATTTTGGTTTTCTTCTGGTCTGTAAGTCAAATCTCAGTCTGCAAGTCAAACCTAAATTTTGCGGCCAGAGAAGTCTGTAACTCAAAAAGTCTGTAAGTCAAGCCATCTGTAAGTCAAGGGTCCACTGTAAATAAGAGTAAGTCTTCTATCAGCAGATGTCGCTGTAACTTTACTTTTCTTTTTCAGTCTTATTTATATGCCCAGTCCAAGAGAGGGAGGAGCTTCCTTCCGGGTAGAAATTTCCCACAGTCACCAAGTCACAACAATAAAAATTTAAAGGATCCACAATGTTTTGAAATAAGTAGGATTTAATATCAATATTTCAGATAGCCACAGGAGCAAGGTTTTATCTTAAATTGCTCTATTTTCATGGCAAGGTATTCTTCTCCCCCTTCTCCCTTTCTCTCTTCTCTCCTCTTGCTCTCTTGATCCAAGCTGGAGGGGGGAGGCTGGCTTCTACTGTAACTTTTTTTTTTAATGATAAAGTCCATTTTGCTGACTCTATTTTAACTTACTCAGAGTCTCTGGCTGAGATATTTTCACCATCCGTTTGTGCTCTCTCTCACTCTCTGCTAGGGGTCTTCCCAGCTCTTTCCCAGCAACTTCAAAGGGGGAAGCGGCCTTTGCTGATCCCATCCCCCCTTTGTAATCTCTGCTGCTTCAGATGCCACTTCTGAATTCAGATGCCCCCCTGGATCGAGGGGGCCAGAATCGACAGGTCCTGGTCAGTTTCAGGAGCTTGCCTGAAACCCGACTGGTTTGTGACATGACAAAACCCTGCCTCAAATTTCTGATTGCTACCATATTTTTGCTTCATAAGACACACTTTTCCCTTCAAAAAAGTGAGGTGAAAAGTCTGTGTGTCTTATGAAGAAAATACATCGCGTTTGGTTCCCTCTAGTGGTCAGTCTGATGATTACACCTTTTTTACAAGTTGCAAGTTAGATTGTTTCCTTGGGGCTATGAAAAATCCTGAAAACATTATATCACACTCTATGTCATTTCTAGTTCTTTAGAAGAAGAATTTGTGTGTGGTGTGGCTCTGATAGTGAGATGAGACACAGCATAATCAATCAAGGACTAAAATGCAAAATCTGAGGAAACACCACATAGTGCAAAGTTGGCCAACTGTGGGTCACCTCATATTTGTTGGACTGCAACTTCCAGCAGCACTAGCTATGGAAGTCACTGGTTAAAATGGAAATTGCTGTCCAAATACATACAGAGCCCCCCACACACCTGGCCCACTTACCACAATAACTCAGACCTACCTGTAGAAAAGGTGGTAGTTGTTTTTTTGCTCCAGCGATCTCCTTTAAAGGCTGCAATATATATGGTGTACTTAGTCCCCCGAACAAGACCTTCTAGCACAAATTTTTGGTCATTAGGACCTAGCAGCACTTCCTGCAACTCAGAAGAAAAGCCAGAAATTACATGCCACTGAACAGGAGAATGTTTTAGCTCATACTCCTGTTCTCCCACCTACCTATTCTCCAGCTGCTCTATTTTTTAATAATGTCTCCCTTGTGACAGCTAAGCTGTGGACAGGGAGAAACATAATCAGCAGAGAAACAGCCATCATCAAAACACTGTCATTCATGAGCAGATAGAAAATTAATTTTTCTTAGAGAGGTAAGTTAAGTGTGTACTGTGGATGTGTAATGATGAATGATCCAGTTTAGCCTGCACAGGGTGCATAGAATCAAATCCAGACAGTATATGAAAGCAAATAAGTTAGGCATAGTCATATTCCCAACACAAGAACACTGCAAACAAAAATACAAGCCCCACTTTTAATCTGTGAATTGCAATTAATTTGCCACTATTTTTAAATGCTGTGAAATATATACTTCTATTGTTTAATCCCTGTGCTAAATTTTAAGGTTGTTTTAATGACTGCTGTATCTATAATTCCCTTTTATGTGGTTTAAATGCCTTTTAAGAACTGTTATTTGTTGTAAATCATCATGAGTCTGGCTAGAAATGTTAGCAACAAATGGAAGCCAATGAGCCCTCTTCACTACAATCAAAACCATGGCAAATCCTTGTGATGAGAGGGCAAGTCCACAGTCCTTACCTGGGCTTTTAATTAACAACAATCATGTGCCATGAAGTCAATTCTGACTCATTGTGACCCTTCACAGGGTTTTACAGGTAGAGCAGTGGTTCCCAACCTTTTTCACATGGCAGCCCTCTTTTATAACAGCCAAGTAACCTGTAACCCCCCCACCACCATATTTGCATAAAATGGATTTTAAATGGGGTAAAGAAAACATTAAAATAGATTTCTCAGAATATAATTCTAATTTAGTATTTAATGTGGAAGTTGTACTTGTAGCTGGGCAGCCAGCTTCAAAATTCACAGCTGAGTGTTTGTTAAACTCACTTGCCCCCACCCCGACAATCCCTTAATAGACTCTTAGAAGTAGGGACAACAAGGGTGGGTTAAAATTCGGTTATACTGAGGGAGAGTGAGTTGTCCCTCAGGAAGGGAACCGTCATCCTTCTTATCCTCCCTTCAAGCAGTGGCTGTGCTGCAGCTGCCTCCTCAGACATCTGCCCTAAGATGGTGGCAGCAGTGCATGGATGAGGCAAGGAGGGGGTAAAATTGCTAGCCCAGCACTGCCTTCTCTCCCCTCAACCCCTGCTGCAGCTGGCCTGGCTTGGGGTGGCTGTAGTTGGGTCCCACATCCTGCTCCTTCCCATCTTGGTCCCCCTCCCAAACCAGCCAGCCAACCATTAGAACTGAAGAGCTGCTCCCGGAGAAGAAGAGCATGCAGATAGGGGCGCCCAGGTGACCCATAGTGAAGAGCAAAGAGAGCTTGCCTTGGGTAGGGTACAAGTGAGGGAGATGGCAGGGTATGTGCAGAAGGGAACAGAGGAGGAATGTGGGAGTAGAGGGCAATGTGACCCCTTTCTCCCAAAACTATAGTGACCCCCCCAAAAAACACTTTGTGACCCCCCTGAGGGTCATGACCCACAGGTTGTGAACCTGTTAGCTAGAGAATACACAGAAGTGGTTTACCATTCCCTTATTCTGGGGATGCTCTCGGACTGTGTAGCTTGCCTAAGGCCACACAGGCTGGCTCTACTCCATAGCAGGCTTAGTGAGGAATCAAATTCCCAACCTTTGGCTCCACAACCTCTGAGCTATCCAGACAACCTGGTCTTTAAATAGCCAGTTTTATTTAGTTACAGAATAGTTTTATAGATACACTCTTAATCCAGTTTAGTTTTAACCAGTGTAAACCCACTGAAGTCAATAGACCTAATGTAAATTCTGAGTAACAAGTCTCACCTCATTTCAAAATGTCTATTAAACTGAATTAAACCCCGTGTGTGTGTTTGAAACAGATTACTGTCTTGCACTTAAGGTCTGCCAAACAAAAAAAAATGTATTGTAAACCCAGCACATGGATGAAAGAGTGAATGAGTGAACTCCTACAGCAATTGGGACAGAAAACTTAATTCTGAAAAGCAGCGTTTAGTATCTCCATATCAAGTAGAACAGACCTGAGATGGGAAAAGCTTTTAGTATTAATTCCCCCCCTTTCTAAATTCAGTTTACATTCCTGACCTATCATCCATTTTTATCAGATTGTAAAACTGGCTTTTTCGTTTATATATATTTCCATAATTTACATATTTATTTATATACGTTTATTGGTGTGTATATTTTTCTACACATTTTCTAATTGACTAAAGTGTGTTTGCATGTATTTCCAGTTATACAAATTTTTGTCATTCACGTTTTTTTAAAAAAGTAAGTTTAGGTGAAAACAAAATACAGTGGTGCCTCGCATAGCGAGGTTAATCCGTTCCGGATTAACCTTCGCTATAGCGAAACATCGCTAAACGGAATTAAAAAGCCATAGAAACGCATTGAACTTCGTTCAATGCGTTCCTATAGCTTGAAAACTCACCGTTAAGATTCAGTTTACATTCCTGACCTATCATCCATTTTTATCAGATTGTAAAACTGGCTTTTTCGTTTATATATATTTCCATAATTTACATATTTATTTATATACGTTTATTGGTGTGTATATTTTTCTACACATTTTCTAATTGACTAAAGTGTGTTTGCATGTATTTCCAGTTATACAAATTTTTGTCATTCACGTTTTTTAAAAAAAGTAAGTTTAGGTGAAAACACAATATGTTCAAAGTGCCATAAAAGTACACCTTAAATCTCTTTACATGGCTAGATGGATTCCTCTCACATTGACAGACACAGCAATACAAACACTTACCCTGCTGGTGCCATCTGGCTCCTGATAAGTGAGGAGATAACCACTGATCTCAGCATCAGGTGGTAACCACATGGCCACGGCACTAGACTGGGTCACATCTGACACATGGAAATTCCTGGGAGTGTCAATTTCTAGGCCAAACAGAAAGCAATGCTTAATGTGAGACTCTGAAGTGGTCTGTGCATGCAGAGACATCACTTCATAGGTGAAGAAGGCAAAACAAAACCTGATTGATGTCCTGTCATAGGTGAAGAAGGCAAAACAAAACCTGGTAGATGTCCTGCTTCCCCTTCCCCTTTCCCTTGGCAGCTGGAAGTGCTGGGGTCCTTTCAAGTGTCCTTCTTACGAGAGAGCCCCACAGCACTTCTTTTACAGTTACTCAAAACAAGCAGCACAAACCCGACAAATACCAAGGCAAACTGGTGCTGCTTTTGAAAGCAACAACTGTGTCCCTGCTACTGGAGAATATTGGCAGAGTGTGGAAATCTGTTTGGATTTTCAAAAATACCTCTAGTTACACAGTGGATAAAAAGTTTGTAAAGATCAGAATTAGCTTCAAGTTTCCCCTCAGTAGACCACCCCCTATTGGTTTGTTCTCCTCAACTGGCACTTACTGTGTCAGTAAATCACTCAGAGACATTAGTAAGAGAAAAGAATAAAATATTCCATTTACTTACAGTCCTTCATAGATCAAAACCACACAGCATTCTGAAGAAAAATATTAACTTGTACACAAACAGTTTTGAACACGATTAACTAGCTTCATGATTACATGGCTGACTCTAACTGAGCACTTAGCTCTAACTGAACACAGACTGTGTGACTGGAAAAGGGCTCTCTACTCTCTCGTGAGTAGAGGTGTTGCGCTGTCCAAAATTCTGAGATAGAGAGGGAGACTGGTTGCTGCTCCATTGACTGACAGCAACTCCAATTCAGAAAGGTCCCTCCCAACCCAAACCTCTTAAAGGCAACATATGTGGGTGCAACATTTCTAACAGAGAAAGCAACAACAATATCACCAAGCTGACTTTCACACCAGTTATATCTTGGACATCCATTTACTTCCATGCATGTAGACTTAGCTTCGACAATGTAGAGTTGGGGAAAGTTAGGTTGTTCCGCTACCTTGGGCTGCAATGTCCATAATCCCTCACCACTGGCTATGGCTTCTAGGGTTGAAGCTGACAACATCTGGAGGGCTAGATGTTACCAGCCCTGCTGTGGGACATAAGGACTAAGACAGGCTTCCAGCGTACACTCCCCTGGAGCTAAGCCCCATTGAGCACAATGACATCTAATTTAGTGAACAGTGTCGAACTGTTGGGAGTTTCATGGAAGTGACACTTTTTAGAGGAGGGACATGAAGGACGTCCGGCAACATCAAGTAGCTTGTGGTCAGGGTTTTCATACCTATCAATGAAGAAAGGAGACGAGAATTGTACAGGAGAGGAAGAAACTTTCAGATGGCTGAAGATGGTGGAGCTAGAGGAGCTACCGTCAGGAACAGAAATACATCCAGTGCGATGGATTTTAATTGCTCCCATCCAATGTTTTCCATGCCCCAGTGACTTACAATCCTTTCAGAGAAGTCACAACTTTCCACCCTGTCCTTCTTCTGTTGGCTGCATATTTAAAGAGCAGCAAGCTACTTGGACAAAAATTGACAGTTTTTGAAAAATGATATCCTCTCCATCAATTGCAATAACATTGGGAAAGGGAAGATGCAGACAAGGACAATACTTGACCACAGCAGAGGGGAACTAATAGTTGTTCTATGCATAATTGTTCTCATTTGGACAGCAGAGGGAGCTGTAGGGCACCAAACAATCTGTCCCTCCTAGGCTTCATTATACCAGTAGGTCTTCAATGGAAATGAATCAGGAAAAGTTCTTGCACTTTCTGTGGCACAGTGTTTGAGTGCCTGAGGCAGAGAATGTCACTTTGCTCTCACTAACTGAGTCAGGCAACCAGAGTGTGCATTTCCTCTAATTAAGAAGTTTTCTCTCCTATAACAATATTTCCTCAGAAATCTTCAGCAGACTAATTCATGAAGCTTCCAGGCACAAAACGATGCATATTAAATATGAGATATATAGTTAAAGAAGGTTGCATGCTATGACAAACAGACACCTTTCACCCCTTGAGGACCACCTCAAAAATGGGTTAAGAGTATCAGGTAGATTGACCCTAAAACCAACTCCAAGCCAGCAAGAAATTCTCCAGTCATCACATGGATGCCTGTTTCAGCTGTAGACGGATAGCTAGGCAGCTGATTGCATACACATATTTTTGTCTCCTGAAGCAGTACTAACTGTGATGATCGTGAATTGGTTTGGCTTTGGATGGCAATGCTCGAAGTATTACACAACAGCCTTTTTGACCACACCACAACAGAAGAAGCGGGGGAGGGGGGGCGAGGTGGCTCATGGACCACAACAACTATTACAGTGCCATTGCCACTTGTCAGAACTAGATAAAACGTTGCCCTCTGCACAGAGCATTTCAAGAACCCTTGGAAATTTTAACAAAAACCAGAGCAACCAACCTCTCACCACCACCTCAAGTTACCTGTCACGGCTCTTGTGCTTGTCCTCTTGCTTTGCTGGCTGCCCTTCACAGCCCAGATGGAAATGAGGTATTCCATGCCTGGTTTCAGACCAGTCAATGTCATGCTGCTCCTGTCCTTTCCAACTGCAATCTCTTTTTTCTCTCCATCAGAAGAGGTATAGCTCAGTATGTATCCGTCTATGGGAGCCGAGGCCTTGCTCCAAGAGATAGTGGTCGTGTTTTCTGTCACTTGATCTGTTCTCAAGTTTTTAGGGCCATCTATTTCTGTAAACCAAAGTACAGGTGTTACTTTTGTTTTCTTTCATGATCAATTTTCCTGTAATAAAATTTTCCAGTTTTTGTTGTTGTTGTTGTTTTGTTTTTGGCCATAGTTTCATCATTTTCATTTCTGGTTGTAGGGGTATATTTTGAAACAAAAATAAAAATTTTGGTGAAAATAGGCTTTTACTGTTACTATTCTCCCTAATAATGATAAATTTAATTTTTCCATGTTTTTTTATTTTACAGTTCTAGATATAACCGTATAACTCCTGTACGCTAGTTGATGTATGCTTTTTGTTAACTAGATCCCAAAATACTTAAAACTAGAATAACACAAATCTAAATTTGACGTTATTTTAATTTTCTTTTGATCTAATATAGGAATGTTTCTAAAGCAAAGCAAAAGCAAAGTGTGCTGCTTATATACCGCCCCATAGCACTTCAAGCACTCTCTGGGCGGTTTACAAGTTAATTATGCAGGCTACACATTCTAGATAACAATTCAGATTTTTTATAATTAATTTTTAATCCTGTGTGTTTATTAAATCTTTCCAGTATTTGTTTCAGTACCTCTATACTTTTCAATGAGTTTTCCAAAAATAGAAGTATGTTGCTGGCATATAAATTAACTTTATGCGGCCTGTTGCTGGTTGTCATGCCAGTAATGTTATCATTTTCTCTGATCTTTATTGCAAGTGGTTCAATAGCCAGAGGAAATGTTAACAGAGACAAATGATCTCATTGCCTTGTTCCTCTATGTAATTCAAATCTATCGGATTCTACTCCATTTATCATCACTGGGGCCTTTGCCCCTTCACAGAGATTTCTTAACACTTTAATGATTTTTTCCCATA